CTCTCCTGCTCCACGTCGTCGTTGGGGAAGTTGTAGCTGCCCTCGCGGAAGCGGTGATAGCGGCGGCCATTCTCGTACATGTAGTCGCGGACGGAGGACATGGCGGACGTGCTCGCGGAGCTGACGCTGTCGCTGTCGTAGCCGGCGTCCGAGGCAGAGTCGTCGGGTCCGCCGTGGACGCTCTCGGGGATGTCGGCGACGATGGACTCTTCGGCTTCCGCGAGGGCTTCGCGAGAGAGCGCGTCCTGCTCTGAGGCGGAGAGCTCGGGGAACATGTAGACGCCGTTTGGGTGAGTCAGGAGGGACGATATGGACATTGGTCTGGCGGCACGCTCTGAGGGCGTTGGCTGGCTTGGGCGGCTTTCTGCCGGCTGTGCTTGGGGTTTCTGGCTTGGGTTAAGAGGCGATGTGATGGTGTCGCCATGAGCGTCTCCGTGTCTCTCTCCATTTGGCGTGTCTGCTGGTCCTTGTCTGGTGCCTTGTGCTTGTTTATCGTCAAGCTGATGATTTGCCTGGGAGGAAGGGGGATGATATGGAGGCCGCGACTCTTGGTGTGAAATATCGCCTAGGACATTTCCGACGGTGGTGTTGCTCGGCGCTGAAGAGCTGGCCGACTGGCTGGCAGCACTCTTCGTGTCATTGCCAGGAGGATCCAGGATCTTGTCATGAGCCGAGTTGTTCAGGACATCGTGCGAAGGTTGACGATCCATGGCAGTGAGACGAGATGGATGAGCACTGTATCGCAACGTTGACACAACCAACTGAAAAGAAGAGGAGGAGGAGGAGGAAATTTCGGCGAAATCTGATGAAGATGATGATGCCGCTGCTTAAAGAAGCACGAAGTCGTCGCTTAATAGTGGCCAAGCCGTGGGGTTTGAAGTCAGAGACGGTTACGGTACGTCCCGGACGTGTATTTCACCTTCTCTCGACGTGCTCGACACAGCGACTTGTCAGGCAAAATATGCGAAGCTGGTCTGCTGCTCGGGGAGATGCTGGAAAGGCCCGCGGACGATGTCTCGGCGAAAAGATTTTGCCGGTGTCGTAGAGCCTGTTTGTGTGTGAAGTGTCTCTTGATGCTGCCGAGCTAGAAGGTGATGAGATTGGAGATTGGCTGCCTGTCTGTGAGAGAGTGTGTGTGTGACTCAAGAAGGGACTGCAAGGGGGAGCGGAACAATAGCATTGAGTATGTATGTATGTGGATACGGAGAGTGTTCGATCTGACGAGAGTTTGATTCAGATAGAAATCTCTGAAGTTCTTGTGTGAACTCGTTTGTTGCTTTTCTTCTGGTGCAGAGTGTAGATCGAGATGCCAAATGCCCGGGGAACGAGACAGGACCGGGGAAGGATTACGGCTCGCCTTGCATTAGCAGACGAGATGACTTCCAAGCTGAGCCGCTTGCAGCTCGAAGGGACAGGGGCCCTGCTGTTTGTATATGTAGTCGCCGATTTGACGAAGAAAAAGCAAAAAAGCAATGCCAGCTGAAAGGGCTTTGACGCAGGGTGGCTTTGGCGGAAACGGGGCTGTTGCGAAGAAGCAGCAGATATGGGGGTCATTGGATGCTCTGTGGCACTTGAACTGGCGCCCATGCGTGGCCCTCGGGTGTTGACCGGTGATCCGTGATCCGTGATCCGTGATCTGTGCTAGCGATGCAGTGCCAACAGCATGTTGGAACATGAAGAGAAGAACGATGAAAGGTGGCAGAAGGGCGAGGGAAGGCTGAGGTGGCTGTTGATGGATGCCGTAATCGGGCGTTTCATTGGTACATGGGACGGAGATGGACTCCAAATGCGAGCAGAGCGAGGCCATGGAACCAACACAACCGATGCGGGTTCGGTTCTATGTATCTCGTCTAACAAGCTCACATATACCTACAGGCATGACTGCATGCTCTCGTCTATCCACCCGTCCAGACACTCGAATTCGGGGCCAACCAACCACAGAGACGTCGTTCCTGCAGAAGGCAATATCGAGCGCGATCCATCCACCCACACGGCCTCACTGATGCACGATTGACGGGCCTGACATATTTTGTCTGATGCATGAAATTGATCCATGAGCCCTTTATGGTATCCAGAGATGGCACACAATTCAACAGTCAACGTGGCATCCTCGTGCTCATTCTTGCAGCTTGGTTCGTCTTTGCTGTTGGCGGGGGATTTCCAGTGGCGGCGTGCTAGCAGCCAACACACTCACTCACTAATGATGCTTCTCCGCACAACCACCCAGGCGAATGAGTGAATGAGTAAGTTGAGTGAGGTGAGTGGGTGTGGTGTGAGTAACGGACGAGTGAGTGAGTCCACGGCTCTTCAGGCTTCGTCTCAACTCTCAAATCAACGTCTCACTCTAGGGATGAAAAAGGACATACGAAAAACCTACCCTGTAGTTCAGAATCGATGCCCTCTTCTTGAGTATCTATCTATATGAACCGAGGCTCCTTTTCTAGTTTGAGAGCATTCTCATCTCATATTCATAGCGCCAGGAATGAGTGGTTGAGTGGTGGTGAGCCCAAGAACCCACTTTTTCAATCGCACCTCGAACAGCTTCTACGGAGTACGGAGTAGTGAATACCTTATGATGACAACGCTGGCTCATGATTTCCTTCCCACTCACCACCATCTTCACCTCCAGACTCGCTGTGTACAACGCGTCTTTATTACAACTCGCCTGAGCATCACACACCAACCACTCGCTGAATGT